ACAGCCCCAGCCCCATTTCTGTTCCCTAAACACACAGCCTGAAAAAAATTATGCTTTGTTAGTGATCCCAAGAGATTCAGCATGGAATTTTCCACTTGTGGCATCATATCTGTACTCCAAGTTTTGGATTTTGGACTACTTGGGATTTTTTAGTTTCAGACTAGGCTGCTCAACTTGTAACCACATCCATTTATAAACTGTTTGTCCATGTACCAGGCACTAGCCAAACAGGCACAGGCCTTGCTCAGCTCCATATGACATCTAAAACTGCAGATGTGGAGGCGGCGAGAGGCTGTCCCAAAGCCTTACATCTGGAGTCGCACACACCCAAAAGTCAAGCCGCAGCTTCCCAGCTCCAGGGAGCACACCCTAACTGTGCTGCCTCCCTGGCTGCTCTTGAATGGGACAGAGCCTTGGCACAGAACTGAGATGAACAGGATGAACAGCCTGGGATCCACACCAGCAAAACAGGTCATGGTTTGCCTTTACAGTTCTGGGAGTTATGTGTTCTGTGCTCAGTGCTTGGTGAAGGAGCAGATGTTTAATAACTTTGCAGTAGCAAGGAAGAGGTTGCATAACGTGGCTGAGCTATTTTTGAACTTTGGAAAATGCTGACTGCTCTTTTCAAAGTGTCTTCTATAAAACCAGGAATATTAAAACATGAAGAAAATTTTCCCCTTTCTCTACGCCCCACCATTTGAAATGACAAGGGCAGAAACAGGTCTGTGATAAGATCAGGAATACTCCATACCCTGCACACTACCCTTGCACACCATGGCAACATTATATCACTCCCATACCCTAACTACAGGGACTCTAAGATTACAATCAATGAGCTGGGAGTCACAGAGTGGTATGCTTAGATACCCCAAGGAGGTCTCAAATGGCTGAAGAAGCTCTTGATGAGTCATCCTGAGAACTTGGTGTGAATTCAGCTGAAACTGTCTGTAACTTCCCTTCTACACAGTAGAAGTAAGGAAAGCTAGCTGTTCTCAAGATGCTTTGCAAGTTGAGACTTTATCCAGCTGAAAATGTAATAATAATTTAAAAAAAATTAAGGAGCCTCTAACTCAAGAGTCTCAAGTCCTGCTGTTCAAGGTCACGTACCCAGGTCAGCCTTATCTGCTCAATGCCTCCAGGTGCACACATCCTGCCTTTATCAACAACCTAAATGCCCATCAACTAGTGATGGCATTGATTAGATAAAAGTTCTGAAACATGGGCGTGGCAAATACAAAAACAGCCCCTGAGATGAACACATCAGAATGTTATCTTCACAGCGATCTTGACAATACAAGATTAAAGCCAAGCAGATTACAAAGCGTTAGATGTCACTAGAATGCATTGAAAAGAACTGTGGACTAGGCAAGTGCTTGCACAGGCATCTGTAGTGAAGATATATCAGCACACACAGAGATTACATACATACTGAACTCACTGCAGAGATCCCCTTCCCTCGCACAAAGAGGGACGTCTACACTATCATGCATGTACTGTTTGTTTTAAGATGTTCAGACAAACATGACACACCGCGCTCGTTCTCTGTGAGACATGGGATAAGTATATTATCATATTCTCTACCTCTCAGTGCCTTTTTCAGTATTTAAAAAAGAAAGAATTCTTGAGCCAGAAAGATGGCTCAGTGGAAAAAGGCACTTGCTGCCAAGCCTGAAGCACTGAGTTCAGTCCCTGCAAGCCGTACAAAGGAAGGAAAGAACCAACTTGCAGGAAGCTGATTCCTGACCTGCACATGCATATACAATGGCACACACACAGAGACACACAAAGTAAACAAACGGATGTAAACAGTGAATTCTTGTGCCCAGAGTTTGTTTTGAGGCAAATTTCTCCCATTTTCATCAGACTATGTGGTCTTTGGGGACAGAAGTCACATCTTAACTTCACTGTTGTATTCCAGGAACCAGCACAAGGTCTGCCAAGTGTGAGGAATGATGGATGGGAGGCAGAAGGATTCAGTGCCCTCAATTCTTCCTTGTTACTTTCTTCGGGGTGTCTCCAACTCCCAGACAAGGGCAACCCAACAGGACCCCACTGTTTTCTTGCTGGGGTGCAAGTAAGGGAAGTGGGGTGCAGCAAGGAGAGGATGATGGAGCCACTGTGAGCCACCCCTCAACCTCACAGTCGGGGTATGCACCACCACCTCTTGTAGATGGGAAACATTTTATTCTGGGGGCCAGTGAGCACCAAACTACTCTGCAGGGCATATTGCTTCTTCGGAGCAGAAATACCGTTTGCAATGCTGTTGCGTTCTAAAGTAAAGCCTGCGGAGCCAGCACAGTGGCACTTCCCAGGCTCAGGGTTTTGTGTTTTGTTTTCGTGTTTCTTCTTCTTCTTGCTCTTCTTCTTCTTGCTCTTCTTGTTTTTCTTCTTCTCCTTCCCCTCCTCCTCCTCCTCCTCCTTCTTCTTCTTCTTTTCTCCTTAAAGAATGGAACCTGGGATGGTTGCTGGAAGGGAATCTGAATGCCTTGGCAATTATCCACCTGAAATTCCTTTATGTGTGTGTGTGTGTGTGTGCGTGCGCGCGCGCGCGTGTGTGTGTGTGTGTGCGCGCGCGCGTGTGTGTGTGTGTATAAAATGTATATATATATATATATATAAAACATTTCAATTGCCTCACAATTGAGTTATGTTTCCCACAAAATAATAGATTTCTAAATCTGCCAGCTGCAGAGCTCAGCTTATTAAAGTGTGTGTGAATTCATTAGCCCCGCCCCTGTCTCAGGGCTGGCAGCAAGCCTGACTTTCTAAGAAGCTTCCATGTTTCACACTGAATTATCTGAGTTCTTTTCTCATATTTGGACAATCATTTAGAATGCTAAAAGTGGCTATGTAGGCTATGTAGGATGGGTGAGGGAGCATTGTCAAAGGAACTTGATTTAATCCAATAGCCCATTTTTCTCCAGTGTACATTAGTTGGGAAGAAGAACATCCTGGACTGGGAAGATGGCTCAGTGGGTAGGGCACTTGTCTCACAGTTTTGAGCACATATGCTCCATTTCCCAGAACCTTCATAAAAAGCAGGACATAGTATGAAGAACTCAATCCCAATGCCCGGAAAGATGAGTGGTGGAGCTAGGACTGTGCAAAAAGGTTTTGGGCCAGCTAGCCTACCACAGCAGTGGGAAAATAATGAAGATACCATCTCAAACAAGGCAAAAGGTGATGACTGACAGCTGACATGTGCTCTGACTTCCCATATTTAGGCCATGGCATGTGCATAACAACACACATACACACACACACACACACACACACACACACACCTCTAGTTGTTGCAGATATAACTCTGGAAGGTAGCAGATTCAAACTCGTAGTCTTCCAGAGATGTTTTAGAGTGTCAGTGGCTTTGCAGGAAAATGACATGCTTTGCTGACTACAAGCTTTGAGGCCATACTTTATTGATAACTCTGATGGTTATTGAAGGATCAGTTGGTGTCAGCATATAAGAAGCATCGCTTCTCACATATCATACACCTTCTTTTCATACAACAACCCCCCAGAACTTTGGTCCTCAAAGAATGGCCCCTAGGCTAATATCAGCATCACCCAGGAACTTGTTAGAATGCAAGTTCCATGAGCTCACTCAGATATACTAATGAAATAGAAATCCTAGAACACGTGTTAGCAAGCCTTTCCAGATGTCTCAGTACATGCTAACATTTGAGACCCAGAAAGGTAAAGTGATTGCCCATGTCCTATAGAATGTGAAGAAAACAGGATGTGAACATGAAGAGCACCACTCCCCAACCCAACCTTTAATCACTGCTCATTATGTGAGGAATGAAGAACAGATTACATCATCGACCATCAGGCAAAAACATGCAGAATGGGTGTCTGAATAATAATTCTAAATCTTAGCTGCTGAGCCATAATGATGGACCACAAAGAATAATGACTCTTCCCAGAAACATAAAATTTAACTTAAACGCCCACCATGATGGGACAGCTAAATAAATTATGCGACAGTCATATAGCAGAATAGAATGTGGCTTTAAGAGTGATGATTGCCAAGATCTTCAATAACCTTCAAAGATACTTGGAATATAAGAAGAAAAGAAATTCAGATTCAGTCAGGAATCAAGAGCGTCAGCATGGCAATCTTCCCAAACCAGGCCATGCTGCTGAGGATGTGGAAGTCGATGATTCCATGACTATTTGTGTGAATATGAACTGGTGCCATTGTTTTGTAGAACAGTTTGGCAATGAATACTTATGCCCATATTTCTGACCCCCAAATCATCTCACTTCTTAGAACCAACCCTAGACAGGCAGTTATATATATCCAAAAAGAGGCCAGGGTGATGGTTACCACTGCAGCTGAGCTTCTAATGGAAAAAAAAATGGAATTCTTATGAATGTAAAGGGTGAATAAATAAACAAGTCATGGTGTATGAATATGGAAGAATGTGGCATGAATACTGCATAGAATTTACCTGATTTATAAACAGATGGTAGATAGATGGATAGATAGATAGATAGATAGATAGATAGATAGATAGATAGATAGATAGATAAGATGTTAGATAGAAGATTGAAACAGGGAGAAAGAAAGAGACAGAAGAAAACTCTTAAGCAGATGTATCCAAGGTATGTTATTGAGTAAAGAAAACAAAATCAAGTTGCAGGAAGCAACTGAAATATATTAGTACAACCAGGCATTATAGCATTACTTGTAAACCCAACACCCAGGAGGCTGGATTGTGAGATGGAGGCCCTCTGAGCTAAAAAAAACACAAGTTAGAAAATCACTGTGGTTATATGATGACATTCTCTCTCAAAAAAAATAGTATTACATTATTTATCATTTAAAAGGTGAGATGGAAAGAGAAGAGAAATGAGCATAAAATCAAACTTCTTCCAAGTAAATACATACATTCTGTATGTAGAGTCTATATTTTCATCAGTGACTACCAACCCAAACATTCATAGCAACAACACTCTGACCCATCTTTGGGAGATGATAAGAAGCTTTCTCTTACTGGTGCAGAGTGTGAAGGGGGGATTCTGGCTTCTCGACCTGCCCATAGCAGCTGGCCTTGGCCTCAGGAATATAGGAGAATTTCTCCAACATGGAAGATGCAGCAGTGGTTAGGATTCCAAGACCATCTCTCACTCTTGCCTCCAGGCTATAGTCCCAGTCATCATAGGAGACTGAAATAAGTCCTGATGGGAACTCTTTGGGGATGAGCTCTGTGTTCCCAGAGACCAAACTGGGGACAATCCAGAAGAAATCATACCCAGTGAGGCCAAGGGAGCGAGCCTCACTCAGGATGAGGACAGCTTCATCTTTGGAACAATAGAGTAAGATGACAGAAGAATGGATCTTCTTCAGCTGGACCTGTGTCTTGGCATCCTCAAAGGACGTGTCCAGTGTGATCACATTCTGCATATCCCAGCCCACAAAGCTGTTGTCCACTGTTGTCTTGATGAAGCTGATGAAGTCTCTATAACCAGGAAAGATGGTGGTCACCAGGGAGAAGACATGCCAGTCATAATCCTGCATGATCTTCAGCATAACTGTGGCTTGCTGCTGGATAGATGCTCCAAACTGGAAGAACGTGGATGTCGGATCCTGCCAACAGATAAGAAGACAGAAAAGCAGGGGGTGAGGCCGGAAGCAGTTGCTACACAGGAATCTGTCTTTATAGACTTGGATATGCTGTTTCTAGAAATCAGAGAAAAACATCAACTCATTTGGGAACTTTTCTGAAGAGCTGGGCTGAGAACATGACTCAGTTGAAGTGTTTGTCATGCAGTCATGAGTACCTCTGTTTGATCCCCCAGAAACCACATTTTAAAACAGAGACAGGTGATCCGTGGAGTTCACTGGCCCACCACCCAAGCCTAAATGTCAAGTTACAAGCCAGTAAAAGGCTGTTGAAAAACAAAGTAGATGGCTCCTTGAAGAACAATGCCTAAGACTGCACTCTAGTTTCAGGCAGGCAGACACACATACATATATGCAAATGCATGCACTGGCATACACATGAACACACACATGCACACATACATACACACAAATAATAAAAATAAATAAATAAACATTGCTGAGATTTGCCAGGCTCTGGAGCAGGCACAGAAAATGTGGACTTGAAAGGATTCATGCTCAGAGTCCCATGGCCAGTACAAGGAAGAATATAATTTTTCCTAGATTCCTTCACCTCACTGTGTATCTGACTACATGGTTCCAATAACACCAATTTGGTCTAGTCCTCAGAGTCATGGCATGAAAATGAAGTCAACAGAGACAAAGGAGTGTCAGGAAGTACAGGAAGGGTCCCAAGGGCACAGTTGGAGCTCCTGGATTCTGCCACTCCTGAAGCCATTTACCTTGGGCCACCAGCTAACCAGGTCACTCAGTTCCTGTGTTTACATGACCCAGTGCCAGTAGTGTAGCTTCACCTTAAGCTTCTCATGTATTACAATACAGACAACAATTCATGATACCATCTACCAGCCTGATTGCAGAACACTTTGCTATGTGCTTTAGCCCTTCGGAAATGATGATTCCTGGGAGAGGTATGGCAGGATCTCTGCTGTCATAGATGTAAGGAAAACTTGGGAAAGAGCAGTTTCTGTGAACTTCAGAAATGTAGAAGAATTAAGGAGAGGGAGAGAAAAACAAGTGGGCATGTCATGAGGTATGATAGATAAAGGCACTCTGGTATAAGAAGCAAAAACAAATAAATAAAATTCTACTGAGAATCTTGGGAGACTATATCCAAAGGCTTAGGTGCTATTCTTAAGGCTATGGGTCCTCTATGATCCTAATGATCCCAACAGCATCATAAATATATGATCATGAGAACAAAGTTTCACTTAAACAAGCAGGTGATTATAGGATTGTTGAATTTATAACTTCCGACACTCCTCAACGCATTAAGTTGATCCTATGAAGTTGGTATTATTGGCAGGGAAACTGAGGATCAAGGTGGTCCTACATACAGCAAGCAAGTGTCCAAGCCTAGGGAGGTCCTGAGAGCACCACATGCCAGCCTCCCTTCTATCTGCAGCCACAGCCCTCTTGGAATCATTTAAAATTGGTACATGATGGATGCATGTGTGTCTATAGTTACCGTGGTACAAAAATGTCAAGTCAGGGGGTGGAGGTGCTAAGCTCAGCTGGCAAAGCGCTTACCTTGAAGCATGAGTACTAGCACCCATGTCTAAAGAAGCAAGGCTGGGTGTGTTCCATGCACCTGTATCCACAGTTCTGGGGAGATAGAGACAGGAGGATTCCTGGAACTCACTGGCTAGCCAACACAACCTCCTCTTAAAATTCAAAGTAAGTGGCTCCTGGAGAGGAGTGCTGAGGTTTCCCTCTGACCTCTAAATGCATGTGTACATCTGCACACTTGTGCACACGTGCCCACCCACATGAACACAAAACAAAGGCCAACTCAACAAAAGACATGCCTCTGTGTTCCCACAAAACAGGATCTGACCAACGTTAGCTTATCTATTTCTTCTGGAACTGAAAGAATTGCCGAAGCACTCTTCTCATTTTCTAAGTGTTTAATACCACCTCAATTTAGGAGCATAGCTTGTATGGACTCCATCGTGTATACACTTGTGTGTGTGTGTGTGTGTGTGTGTGCGCGCGCGCACGTGCATGCACTGAGTGATTCTGTGATTCCATTCATGTCTTTCAGAGTGATACTTTGTAGCTACAGATATCAGTTTTTTCCATCTCATTTTCTTGATCTCAATGATCAAGTGATCAGTAAGCTACAGTTCTTGGAAACACCGCTCTTTTTGGAAGGCATGGGTTTGGTGGATTCCTTCAGTGCAGTATGGCCAGAATACAGAGAGAAGAAACGGGAATAAATAAATGGTTCCTGGGTTCCTTCCAACATTACAGTTCTATGAATTTTACCTAATTAAATCAATTAAAATGGGTAATGGATTTAAAGACTTAGGGAATTATCTTTTTCCCTACTGTAGCATTTGGAGAAATCCAATATTCTTGAATTGATGAGTCATTTTTTTCAATCACATCTCAACAAGACTGAGCTCTTCAAGGGCAGAGAAGCCGTTGTCCTCATCACTCTGTTCCCACAGCTGGCAGCAGGTTTGGCCCATGACAACGGAGGGCAAGGATATGCATGAGTAGATGAGTGTGGAACTGAGGCTTCAGGAAAATGTCCTTGGGTTACACAGAATGCTCACAGGGGATCATTCAGAGTCGGAGGCTGTGTGCTTTCTGGCCCCTGAATGGCATATCCAAAACAAGACTTTTGAGCTCACCACCCACATCTACCTAGGCCATGAACTTACTCCTCCAACCAAAGTCCCAATTGTCTATGTATTTGTGAGCACATACACATTTGTTTATAGAGAGGCATTTGTGTGTTCATGCATGTAACGGTCAGAGGACAAACTTGAGTGTCATTCCTCAGCTGCAACCTTATTTTTTTCTAATATTTTTATTTGTAATGGGTGAGTGGGTGGGTACATGCAGGTCATAGTTCATGTGTGGAGTTCAGAGGACAACTTGTGATATTCACCTCTCCCCTACCATGTGGACTGCAGGGATAAAACACATCATGAGGTTTGAGAGGAAACACCTCTACTCCTGGGGCATTTTCCTGGCCACTTGTTTTACTTCTTGCACAAGGTATCTCATTTACCTGGAACTTGCAAAGTAGGAAAAGCACGAGCTCCAGGGATCCACCTCTGTCTCCCCCGATATTGATGGGATTACAAGGGTCTACTCCATATCCCGCTTTTCCTCTTAGGTTCTATGAGACTGAACACAGTTCTTTGCGCTTGCTAGAAATTATCTTTATAACTGAGATATCACTCCAGATTAAAATAAACATTTTTGTGTTCGCTTTATTGATAGAAGGAGGACTACAGAAAAATGTATATGTCTCATAAGATGTCTTAGAACTTCACTGAGTTACCAAAAAGGACAATACAGAATCTAGCAGATGATATAGAAGTCTAAAAGCAAGTACAGCACTTAGCCCCTGACACTGTTGAGTGCCTCCTGAAACGGAGCAAAGGGTCACAAACTGAATTACCTAGGAAACGCATTCATTCCCTCTGCAGTGAAGCACGGGATGGTGCTGGCAGGAGAGCCACACTGTGAGCGCAGAAGACATGGTCCTGCATGCACACATGGGGAGTGGAGAAAGGCGAATGCACTAGAGTCTCTGTGGTTGTTGTCCAGCTGTAAACAAGTCACTTACATCACCTCCTCTGAGCTCAGGGAACACTGTGGGGGGAGGGGACAGTGGCAGAGGAAGGGAATTACACAGAAAAAAGAAGATACGCCGAAAGGCTGAAAAATGTCATCCTCTACACTCAGGACAGCTTTGAAGTCATTAATCCATGACTGTAGCTTTACAGCTGTAGTTATTTGCACTGCAGCCATGCAAGACCAACCCTATCAACCAGTCAGGGAAAGGGGAAGGGCTCATGGGGCCCTATCCTTCACCTCAGAACTACTGGCTATTGATAAACTCTGGGAAGGAAACATGACTGTCTTTAGTTGTCTGGTTGTCTGCGGCAACCAGAGTCTAAACCCATGATCACAAAGATGAACAGGAAAGAGAGGTTTGTGGGAAGTGGGGAAGGTGGAGAGGAGGGTAGGAAGGGAAGGTGAGAGTAGTTAGTACATACATGTGTGAAACTGTTAAATAAATAAGTCTTTGAGGCAACCCCCATGTACACACAATTTGGACAACATGGTATGGAGAACTGGGGACAAACATGCTAGATGGGGCTGGAACTGGGGATCCTGACGCTTCCTTGCTCCATGAACTGTGAATTGTAACATCACTAGTGTCTTCGAGCTGCTCCACGCACAGAGGAGCACTGCACTGATACAGTCCTGCCTCATATTCCCCAGAAAAAAGAGGACGTGCCTGCTCCGCAGTCTTCACAGGAAAAGATAATCGCAGACAGCAGTTCATCAGTCCAGAGCCAGGACGGCACAGGCCACCCATGGAAAGGTACGCATTACAATGGCCTGATACCACACTTCCTCCTAAAGAGAAACTGGTGTGTTGAAGGCTTGTTGCCAAATGCAGGAGTGTTCAGGGTCAAGGCCTTCAGGAAACAACCAAACTATCAGTGCTCTGATGTCCTGGGTGGACTCAGGCTGTTGGAAAGTGCTAGAAATGGTATTGTAAGAAGTAAATCGCTGGGAACATTTCCTTGAAGGGCATGTTTTGTCCCAGGTCTGTGCCTCTGTCTCCTTTTGCTTCCTGCATGTCAGCAGAAGAGCAGCTTTGTTTCACGCATGCTCCCTGTTTATATATTCTTTCTGCTCAGCCCAGGCCCAGAAACAGTGGAGGCAAGTGGTCAGAGGCTAAAAAGCCACAAACTGTTAACCCAAGTCAACTTTCCCTCCTTCACACTACTTTCTCTCAGGTATATTTCATCATTGCAACAAAAAGCTGATCACCATACTCCATTCACACCCTACCCTGTGAGGTAGGGCCTGTGTGGATGGACCACAGTGAACCTTCTTGGGTCTGACTACCCAGTTACAAACTTAATTGTATGCCCTAGGGAAAAGTCACTCAATCTTTCTAATTCATACTTTCCTCATCTGCATAATAG